ATTTTCCTTAACTCCTTTCTTCTGCATCTATTTACTGGTGCTAGAGGTCGTTTGCTTGGAATCTCTATAATCAGATAATGGGCCCTTGCTTACTGGCTTATTTCCAAATACACACACACACACACAAGTATATGTAATATATGTTTATAAATATGTAAGGATGGTCTTGGGCCTTACCATGTATTTTTAGATAATATGTAAGAAGTTAGTATTTGCATTAACCTAATCAATGGATTTTAAATAAAATTAGAACTTTTGTTTATGTAGAATATTAAAAAAACTGTGATTTTGAACAAACTTTGGGTTCACTAGACTGTATATTAAGTGAATAACAGAGGAGCTTCTTTTATATCCTTCCATCTAAAGCGATGCTTAGCACTGAGGCAGCGAGGGCCCTTCTCTGCAGTCTTGATGGAGGTCACTCCTCCCGTGCTTCTCTAAGCGTATGAGAAATTACTTAGGTAAACACTATCACTGTGTGCTTACGACCTGGGGATCTTGATCCAGTGAGAAGAGGCCTAGACTAAACAACACTTAAAAAAACAAACAAAAAAGGCCCTGTTATGTGTTTCATAGCATTTCAAAAATATTCAAATTACAGAAAAGTTGAAAAAATAGTCCAGTGAATACTTACTCTTAACCTATTGCCATATTTACCAGCTGTCTGTTTTTAAAACCGTTGCAAATAAGTGCACACGTTATGAGTTTCTTCAGCCTTCCTCTCCTATGACAAGGATACTTTCCTACACAAGTCTTGTAATCACACCTTAGAAAATTAACAATGATTCCCCAGTATCACATAATAAACAATCCATGATCCATGTTCGTATTTTCCCAGTTGCTCCTGTCTTTTTAGCTTAAAAACAAGTACAGAATCCCATCAAGGTTCACGAATTTGTTGTCTTCTTAAATTTAAAGTTCTGTCTTTTTGGGTATGTATGTCTCATGACATTGACCTTTTTGAAAAGTGCAGGAGAGTTATCTTGTAGAATGACCCATAGTCTGGATTTATCAAATTATTTCCACTTGTGCTTTTTATTTTTTACTTGTTCGTTAAGTAAACTTTTGGAAATAGACTTACAGAAATGTACATAATGCATGAGAACATGGGTTTTTAAAAGTTATCTTCCTGGTCTCTGGGGTCCTAAGAAATCTGGCTGTTTTACAAACCCTTATCTCTGCCCTTGTTTCTCCATACTTTGAGAATGCCTAGTGCAGCGACAATTTCCTGGCTCCTTCATTCAGATCAGGGTGCTAAGACTGGGCGGCTTCCAATCTAGGCAGTTCCATTGTACTTATCTCAGATCCCCCACCGGGGTTTCAATTAGAGAAGTTATTGTTTAGTTCCTCTTCTAAAAATGTTGCATTATGTAATTATCCTGGCTTTAGGAGATTTGGGTTGTTTTTATACCATGTGAATAAATTGGCTATTAGGAAAGTCATTTTAAAGCCTTTGGTGATCTAACTCAATTGTTAAAACTGCCTTAAACTAGGCTGTAGTAAGACACAATACAGGTTTTTTTGTTTCTCACAACTTAGTGTTTTTCTGGTTATGGAGATCCAACATTGGTCCTGAGGTGGCTCATGGTCCTTTATCATAAAAAAAGGCCAAATGTTAAAAATATAATGACCTAGGCCAGCTTTGTCTTCACTGTCCCAATTACCCTTTCCCCTCTTTCCATGTACTCCACAGCTCTTTCCTATTTCTCTTGTTCTCAGGATGCCAAATGATGACAGATGATGGTGTAAATTGGGGCCTTAACCTGTCCTTAGTGAGTCAGTGAGCCCCATAAAATCATTTGCAGAATTTGTGTGTATTTACTTATGTGCTTTGTTCTGGAGAGATGTTTTCATAGATCTCCTCAACTTTGCAGGGTGTTTCTGAGCCCCAAACACTGGCTTGGTTACTTCTTCCTGGAGTCTTGTATATTTTCTCTGACTGTTAACAAGGTCTCTTTATCTTTGTAGTAATATTTCTGTGTATTTGTTTTAGAGTAAAAAATTATAAGGAATAAAATTAAATGCACTCATAATACTAGTCATTACACAGAGATAACCACTGTTTATATACTGGTAAATAGTTATCTATCTGCCAATCATCTGTCTACCTATTTATCGATCATTCATCTATCCACCTACACTCACACAGTGGTTGTTTTTTTGTTTTCTAAATAATAATTCTATATGAACAGTTTCCACTTTGCTAAGTGTAGATCAATAACATTTTGGTTTAATTGCTGCAGATAGTCTATTGTATGGATTATGGATATACAGTAATTTATTTATCCAATCCCCCACTGATGGACATAGATAATTTATATTTTAATAGGAATCAAGCCTTAGGCAACACGAGATAGGAGCTTGAGGCTTTTTGCTGGTCACAAGAGCCCTCTTCCTGGGTCTTACCCTTCCAAGCCCCATAGCAAAGGTTAGGCTCTGTACTTTGGGTCAGAGAACTTGTTTGCTTTTTCCACAAGAAAAGTGAACTGTACTCCTACAGTCTTACCTCTAACTCCCAAGACAGTGATATGAGTTGGCAAGTCATTTCAAATCAATAAAGAATACAGTTTTATAGGATTGGCTGACTGCATAGCAGTTCCATTTAAATCCATCCTCAGTTTTCAAGGCTCAAATGGACCTAATTTTGTGCAATTTACATTTTTGAAGTGTAATGTACATTCCATATTATGTGGAAAAAGAATCGAATGCTTTATTGAAACACTTGAAGCAAGTAGCCAGGAGATTATCGGGTATGAATATGTACCTATGAATATATCCTATGATATTTTGCCGAAAGAGGTGGTGCTGTCTTTAATTCCTTTTTCTTTAATGTGTTTACCACTGACACTACCAGATTAGAGGCTGCACCAGTCAACACCCTTGGGTCCAGGGGTAGTAACTGTTCCCATCTGGCTCCATGTGATTAATGGTGTTTATGTCATGGCATAAATCACATTTTGCTGTTCAATCAGCTGAGACTCTGGCCATTAAAAAAAATTACTCTATCTACAAAAATCAATAACCAGTGGTTTTTGGAAAGGAGCCGTACTTTAACGGTTATTCCCTAAGTCTGTCTGTGAAGATAAACAATCAATTACTGTACTCACTGAAATTGTGCAGGCAACGAGAAATATAATCACACAGATAAGTGATGACCTTAAGTAAGGACAGGTAGGAAGCCATCTTAAGGGAGACAGAAGGTAACCAAAGATACCCAATACCCCTTTGAAAGTCTTTAAGAATGTCACCTTTTTTACAAACCCAGCCAACAATACAACCTCAGAGAGCTTAAGAGGAATTTTCAGAAAAGCATGGAAAATAAATTAGGTTGATAATAGCATTCTGTGACTGACTTCATGCCACTCACTACTCTGTGGACTCTAGCTACAATATAGAAAATCAATTTTGGTTCTTTATTTGCCTCAAGTTTGCCTAATACATTACTGCCACCAGGAAACCCCACAAAATCTAAATAAATTAATTAGATTAGCTAAAGCGATGAAATGTCATGTAAAATACAAGGGATGACTGCTTTTTTGGGGAAGAATAGAGCTGAAGATATAAGTCCTAGATGCTTTGCCTTACAGGGAATATTATGTGTACTTTGAACACGATGCTGTTGACCATGTGTAGCCACATGCCTGAATAGACCGAGGTGAGATCAGTAGTTCTGATTCACTTACCGTTTATTTCACATGCCTCGGGTGAGTGCTTTGGGGTGTCGCTCACACAGCCTGTTTTTGCTGCAGTTGCCTCTGCTTTTGTGAGCAGCACAGTGTTTTTGCTCAAATTGGAGCATGCCTCACTGACTCCTGCTGGCCGTGTGCTTCTGAGGAATCTGTGGCTGAAAGATACGTTTCAGGTATTCAAGTCATACCAGTTTTGCATCTTCATGAGCCTGAGTGAAGTGAAATTCTAAATGGGAAAGGAGAGATTTCCCTCGGACCGTTCATTTTATCTATAACCCTGTACACAGCACAGTCAGCATCCTTGTTTTGATAGTAAGCTGGTGGATCTCTAAATAATCACAAACTTAATAAAGAAGGAAGGAATAACATTGTGTGCCTTTCCCCTGTATGGAAGGTATAATAACCCTTTTTTGCAAGATAAGATCCTGCAGATCAGCTCCAGCTAGATGAAGGGAGGACCAACCTTCAGGCGAAGTGCTTTCAGGAAAGCATCATGTTTCCCCATTTCACTGTAATGACCAGGAGCTGAGAAGAGCTGTTTCCTGTCACCGCACTGCATCGCTCTCCTTTACGTTATTGGCAGCTGTTACTTGCCAGAAGTTTAAATTATCTCAAGAGCTCTAAACTGAGTTCAGATGTTTGTTTACTGGAGCTGCCTTAGGGTTCTGAAAACAGCCTTTTGTGTGCTCTGCCTCAAGGAAAGGCTCTTCTCAGCATCCATCCATCCTCCCTCCCTGCGCTTGTCCGGGAACCTGCTTCAGTCTCATGAAGGAAATTAAATAGAGAGGCCAAGCGGCTCACAACTCTTCAGAAACGAGACTCCAGTGGTGAAGCGACTTTAAAACAGACAGGAATTGGGACTCGACATCCTGTATTTGTGCTTTGTTTTTGAAACTTGCAGTTAGTTGCCTTGATGAATTAGCCAGCAGTCTAGTAATGGAAAATGTTTCGCCTGTCCTGGTGGGGGAGCCAGATACTATAGATTTGTAACAGGAAGGCTGTTGATTCTGGCTTCATTGTTGGGCCAGTCATTTGAGAGCTGGCGGCCGGACCGCAGGCCACACACTTCTGTGCAAATCTTCCATGTATTGGAACAGCCTGGGTATTGTTTATACTGTCGGAGACACAGCCAAGAAAAGATGGTGAGCCCTGGGTTTCATTTCTTGGTTGTGTATCCCCTCAGCGCCGAGGATGGTGCAGGATGCCAGCCTCAGTTTGGGGGGGGGGGGAAGAGGGGGGCTGTTTAAATCGAGGAGCATCTGTGCGTGTTTTGCCGTTAATGCCTTTTTTTCCCTGTGTCATCCTCTGTAGAGTTCCGGGAACGCGTCCTATTGCTGCTCTGTGTCTTCCTCTGCGGATTTTTCCGATGAGGATGATTTCAGCCAGAAATCTGGCTCGGCATCTCCTGCTCCCGGAGACACATTACCGTGGAATTTGCCTAAACATGAGAGATCAAAAAGAAAGATTCACGGGGGCTCGGTGCTGGACCCCGCTGACAGAGCAGTCCTTAGGGTAGCAGGTAAGAGCATCCGGGAGGGGACGGAGCCAGGACGAGAGTTGCGGAAATTCACCCACTGCTCCCTGGGGGCCATATCTGGGAGCTGACGCACTGGGCAGAGATTTGTACCCAAGGTGGGGAAGGAGGGTGACCCTGTTTACTTTATGCCTCGATTTATCCAGAGTGCAGTTTGCCCTGCCTGCTGCTAACTAAGCTGTTTGTCCCCGTCTTCTGGTTGGATGAATTGACACCTTTGAAACGCAAGGAGATATTTACAGACATCTGCATTAAACTTTCCTATTTACATGCAGTAGCCACCTGACAACCTGAAAGTATTAACTCTATGGATTCCTAGTGGATTTACTGGAAGCTGTGAGACAGCAGCCTTCATTTTCATTTTCACCCAGGGGACTGAGCTATGCAGATTTAACGGCGATAGGTTCCTGGTTTTTGGTACCCAGGATCGCAGAGGGTATTCCAGCAACTCGGATCCCATTTTTTTCTTTTCTTTCATCTTTTTAAAACTGTATCATCTCTGTCAGCGTCATGTGTCTGTAGCAGCTTTCTTCCCTAGTGCTTTGAGGGTTTAGCCATTATGCATTCCTGATTAATTAATATATGGGAGGTGCCGATGTTTCTGTTCTGTCACACCCGGTGTTCCCTTGCACTGGCTCTAAAAGTCGAACCAGAAGGGCTGGCTTGTTTCAGCCAGCTGAAAGCTGAGACCACTATGGAAATCAATCCTCCAGCCTTGCAGTACCTATGTGGTTTGTGTGTATGTGTTCCGTGCAGGACAGCTGCTTCCTGGCACTGGCTGTTCTGCCATGCCCTCAAAATTTTTTTTTCTCTCTCTTGGAAGTGGTGCTGGGGTATCTTGGAGGAAGTCTTTAGGGGCTCTTTTGCAAGGGCCAAAGGTCAGGTATTTTTCCTTTCCGGAGGAGTTGCTTTCTGCAGCCCTCCATCAGGCCTCCTTTCCACCCCCTCCCTTCCCTACCCACTTCCTTTTGCTTCCCACTGTAATGCAAAGTTGGCACTTTATCTTCCTCCACCGGGGCTAGAAGGGACTAGCCCGGATCCCAGCCACTCCGGCAGCTGAGAACCCCGCCCCCCCCAAGCACTCCCCCAGTAGGATTTTCTGATTAAGGGAAAAACAAATAGCCCAGCCAGCCTTTCTCTAGTCTGGGTTTCTGGGGCAACAGCCTTGAGCTTCTTCTGGCTTCTGTTGTGAGATGCTGGCTGGTTTCAGCCAGGCCTTTGAAGAGGAGGGGTGGGGTAGGGAAAGGGGAGGAAGAGGGAGGACGGAGGATGGAGACTGTTTGGAGCTAAGTGAAAGCCAGCCGGGGTGGCCTGGGAGATCTGGGGCAGACTGGCCCTCGGCACCATCCTTGAGGACCAAAAAGTGTTTAGTCACTGAGGCCTGACTCCTTGCCCTGTTGAGACACCTCGCCCCTCACACACACACACACACACACACCTCACCCCCCCACACACACCTCGCCCCTCACACACACACACACACCCACACACACACACACACACACACACACCTACCTCACCCCCCCCCACATACCTCGCCCCTCACACATGCACACAACTCACCCCCCCCCACACCTCGCCCCTCACACAGGCCTCCTTGCCCTGTTGAGTACACCTCGCCCCCCCCACCCACGCGCACGCACGCACGCAGGTCTGAGGCACAGTGCCAGTCCCAGATATTTGGCCCAGCAGAGGGGGAGGACAGGCACAAGGAGGGCATGTGTGTGACAAGTTGCTGGGGCATCAAGACAGGATGTCTGTATTCTGAGCATTTTCCCAGAAGGTAGAAGGTGCTACCGGCTTGAGAGTTTTCATAGTGGTGGCAGAAGTGGGTATTTTTGCTTTTGGTAGTGAAGGAAGGGGTTAGGAGAGAAGGACAAGGCAGATATTTGTCAGGGAGAATGATACTGTAGAAATACTGGGCAGGAAGTCGGCAGGAGCTGGGAGATGTAGCTGGCAGTCTACACTGCCGGCAGGGAAGAAGTGGAAGAACTGGGCTTCTCAGGGCCTGCAGTGGACACGCGGGTGCTGATATTGCTGGGCTGTGGACCCTGCGGGGGCAGGGGCCCTGTTCCATTCCTCGTAAATAGTTTAAAGAGTCATTTGTGGATTTGTGGCCAAGCAATGGAGTTAGTTAGTGGTTGATGATAGACTCAAAATCTCCAAGTTACATACATTTAAATTATGTTAATAAAATACCTGAACAAAAGAACAAACAATGAGTAGCTCTGGTATGTAAGTGTGCTAATGTTTTAAAATACATATTGGTAAATTTGATGTTTGCTATACAAATCATAATCAGTAATCACACATGGAGCATAGACTTGGGGGCCAGTCCACAAATATGCTTAATCATATTGTGACATAAATACAAAATTCAGATATATTATGTCTTAAATTTGCTAGTGATCCCTCAGTGTGAGGATAAGGGAACAGGGCATCTGAGGGAATCTGGTGCTGTGGATAGTTTCAAAACATACTATTAAGAGCTCAACTGCTACTTTTATTAGACATTTTCATTCTGCTTAAAACACCCCATTTCTGAAACTCATCACCAGTAAGAGGTGGGGTGAGGTTCAGAAACAGAGTGAGAATGTCCATAGTGTTCATTACTAAGCAATAAGAGTTGAAAGTTCAGTATTTTTATTTGTTTTTAAGGCATAAAAATAGAACTTGAAAATGTCTAGGGTGAAGAAGACCATATAGTCTGTGGGATACCTTAATTCATTCACATTTAATAGATACTTATTGAGCCCCAGGAATAAAATGAAGGGAAGCACACAGTTCTGCCTTTAAAGAAGTCATAGTCTAACAGGATAACCGGATGTGTTGTTAGACAATTACCATGTGGTATGAGAGATGAGTTGTAATGGCTGTAAGTCCCTAGTACTTAAAAGAATCCAGAGGAGAGTCTAATTAACTTGGATGGAGAGGGGGTCCTGGGAGGTTCCTGAGAGGTTGCTGAGGGCAAGTGCTGCTGAGATGAGACTTCGAGAGCTGGATGGAATTAGGGTCAGAGGGATGGAACTACAAGAACAAAAGGTGGGAGATGTGCTTAAATGGAAACTTACCGAGTAATATGCGTAGTGCAGGCATGGGATTTGGTAGGGAATTGCAGAAACTGTAAAGGCGCTTTTGTGCAATAACGAGGAAACAACTATTTATGCTGTAAGTGGTGGAGAATTACTGAAAGATTTTTTAAGTGGTACAGTGACATAATCAGGATTGCATTTTAAGAAGTCTTATTGCTGATGGTGTCACACATCTAACACTTCATAATTTTAAAAGTGCTTTTAGATTTACTGTAGTTTCCTCATGTTAAAATTTGAGGTTATACTATACACCCTTCCTCTCTCTCAGGGTCAATGTGGGAGTAAGATGAGAAAATGTCAAGGAAAAGGGCTTTGTAGTACCCACTGTATAAATGCCTTTAAACACAAAAATAATACAGATCTGCTGTTCTTAGCTCTAGGATATTGTACATTGGGTTTTTCAGTCTTGAAGTGCCTGTAAAGGTACATACATGGTTTGTTAGTGACAGGGCTACTTTAAAATAATGGATTTTTGTCCCATGTGAATTCTTTGAAGTGGGATTTGAAGGATCAAAGCAGAGTCAGAGTTTGGACTCAGGCAAACTTGGATTTTAATTCCCCTCCTATCACTAACTAGTTGTGTTTTCTTGTAAAGTTTACTCAACTTTCCTAAGCTACACTTTTGTATCAAAGGGCCATGGTTGTAGTGACTAAATATAGTAGTAAATGTAAAATATTTTGCAAATTTCTTGGCACATGGAAAAGCCTCTATAAATGATAGTTTACAGATGGCCAGATGCTTTTAGTATGCATGCAATATGTTATAAGCACTTATTATCTCTTTAGCCTCCCAACAACCTTCTGAAGTAGGTACTATTATTTTCTCCATTTTTCAGTCTAAAAATCTGCCAAGAGAGGGAGGGATTCTTCCCAAGGTCATATAGCCTAGTAGGTGGTAGACCTAGGATGTCAATTCAGGCAGTCTTGACTCCAGAGGCCAAGCTCTGAACTTCTGAACTTTTGCTGTATCCCTATGAAATACACTATTCTTATTAACCAGTGAATCCAGTGTTACCATCCCAGGAATGCATGGGGCAAAGGCTCTTTTTATAGACAACCCCAAATGCTGCTTCTGTTCATTTTGATTGGCTCTTTAAATGGACAGTTGTAATCACTTAAGTGTGCACTGAAATATCCAGAAAATTGGGAGCTCCTGGGTGCCAGTGTCTGATGGAGGGTCAGACTACGCCCTCAATGACCTTAGTCATTGTGAAGGAGACAAAAGAGTTTTGAGAGATCTGTCTGTATATGTAGGGTCTGTAGATGGAATGACCCTTAGGGATCTAATTGGTAACCCTTTCATTTCAAAAAGGTGCTCCATATGATGTGTGTTTGTTACTTCATGAACTAATGTGTTACCAACTAAATGCACACCAATTTGCAAGAACGATTCTGGAGATCCTAAGGGCTTTGCAGGACATGGGATCAAAGTCGGATCGTAGGACAGTGGTAAGGATGGAAAAGAGATGTGGTCTTGCTTTGTTTGTAGTAACAAAAGTAGGCCAATTGCTCAGAAGTAAAGCTTCCCAATTCTAATGCAATTAAGTTTTTTTTTAAAGAGTGTACAGTTTTTCAAGAGTAGTCATCCCCATCTGAGAGTTAATGGAAAATAGTCTAGATTCACAACATCAAAAAAAAAAAATCATCAAGGACAAAAAGGTCAGCACATACAGAAGGAAGAAATAGGGAAGATGCGGGCAAGAGGTGAAGTTGTTATTAGATAGTCAACAATGAGCTGGTTTATCTAATAATAATAGCTAACTCTCAGGAAGCTATTTGATACCAGCTTTATGAGGTAGGCACTATCATTGTCTCCATTTGACTGAAGAGGGGCTCGGAGAGGGTAACTTGGCCAGTCGGGCAGAAGGTGCAGGGCTTGCGTCCAAGGCAGCC